ATCATGACGTCATGTAAAAAACCAACCGACACATGAGGAAGTATATTAATTATTAGTAAGTATTTTAAATATACCAAAAGTGGTATCAGGTGTGGTAATAGCTGCTCAAAATAGACAATAAAAACTACAATTGGGAACCTACAAACAAAAAACAAACAAAATCATCGGGTGTCAACTCGACATATTATTATGTTGACAAGTCTAAATTTGGTCTTTAAACAACATCTGCGATGATAGCAGAAACAGATATTTTTTATTATTCAATTAGTTCATGATGGCGGCTGTAAAATTTCTATAGGGAAATTTTGTGTCGATTTGGTAGTTAGAGCTTAGATATTAAATGTTGCGGTCTGGCTAATAAATAAGCGTAGAAAGAACATCCTTTAGAGTTCAAACCCATTGAGACATACACTCCATAAAGTGGCGAATTCGGAATGTTGTTACTCTTTGTTAAGCAGATTATTCACATTATTTACATGACACATTATTATCCCTCCACCATCTTCAAACCGCGGATTATTCTCATTATTTACATGACGTGTCTTTCTTCTTGTTTCCTGTGACCCATTAAGTGAAAGATATTAATTTCTATTTGGATCCTCACAAATTATCAAAAGCATTAAGAATTTAATAGGAATTAAGATGACAATTTCCTGTACCACTTTGTAAATTAAAAATTTCTATTCTACTGTCCTTAAATTAATTCAGTTTATTAAGAAGAGAATGTCCCTTTAATTCAACAACTATTCTTTCTAAAAAATCGCAATTTTATTTTTTAAATTAAATAATAATTTACGACCTTCAATTGATATATAATATCATCGATATCCCATGAATCTTTGTGCACCCCTTTGGGGTCTTAGGAGGTATGTATACGTTTCTTTTCAAATTAAGTACTGTATCAGCATCTCAAATAATATTCCGTCGGTATGCTTTTATTAATATTTTGTGTAAGTAAATCAGACGTCTTGATTCAAATTTTGGCAGTTTTTAAAATATTTGTTTTGGGCTTTGGGGTGGAGGGTGGATTGTTTTATTGTCGTATTCAAAGAGAGACATAACCATAACGACATTAACATAAATATATCAAGAGAGGGCGGTGCATATAAATATATAAAAGATAATAAAATAGCATCAATACTCCAAAATATAATATCAATATAATATATACTTGTTATTTCGTTTCGCAGTAGCAAAATACAAAAAAAATTACCATGTTTTTTTAATAACATTAATATTTATTCAATTCAATAAGGTTATCAGATGGGTTATTTAAATATAGTATTTATTGATAAAATACATCTGGAAACAGTATTTATTGATAAAATACATCTGGAAACAGTATTTATTGATAAAACACATCTGGAGGGTGTGGAACGATGACCAGACTGAAATAAAATGGTATTCGTCCTCTATTTCATTTTCATTGTAAAACGAATCTATACAAGTATAACATGCTTTCGGGACAACATTCCTGCAGGTGATTTCATTTAACCAATAGTTTATAATATTAATTTGTAAATATTAATATTCTTTTTACTAATTTTTCAAAATATACATTATTATCGGTTGTCAAAGGTCTGAACCCAGAATATTTTGACAGAATTTACTTTGTCCTTTTCTATAATGTCAGCAGAGTGTATACCCCGTAATTCTTTACCACAGTTTAAAACAAGACCAAGATAAGTATCGAATAATGACAAAAATGTTACAATATGAAATGAAATGAATGAGTTTTACGTCCTACTTTTCCGCACCATGATGAAGACATTTTACCAGGACAGCGACATTAAACTGCTCTATTTCGATGTCCAACTGTCAAGGATCTTAAACGTTCACAGCCTGTAGCACACGGGACCTCGGTTTATTGATCCATCCGAACGACTAGACGGTTTTTCCAAATAAGCCTCTCTTACCTGCATCACTGAC